TTGAGATGGAGTCTCGCTCTGTCGCCCAGGCTGGAGTGCAGTGGCTGAATCTCAGCTCACTGCAAGCTCCATCTCCCAGGTTTATGCCATTCTCCTGGCTTAGCCTCCCAAGTAGCTGAGGCTACAGGTGCCCGCCACCACGCCGGGCTAGCTTTTTGTATTTTTTTAGTAGAGACGGGGTTAGGCAGGATGGTCTCCATCTTCTGACCTCTAGATGGAGTTTCTTTACATGAGAGTCTAAGAACATTGTTTCAAGAGAGTGAGGGCAAGAGTCGACATCCAAAACTTAAGTGAAGCCACCTTAGACAATCTGTCTAAGTGGACTGTGTTATGGTTCTCCAGAGAAAGAGAACCAAGAGGATGTGTGTGTGTGAGTGTGTGTGTGTGTATGTGTATGTATGCAGAGAGAGAGAGATGTAAATTTATTTTAAGGAAACACTTCCTACAATTGTGGAAGCTTGATAAGTCCAAAATCTGCAAGGTAAAACAGCAGGCTTGAGACTCAGGGAAGAGTTGCAATTTGGGTCCAAAAGCAGTCTGCTGACAGAATTTCTTCTTATTTAGGTGTGATGTCAATTACTGTCTATTAAGGCCTTCAACCAACTGGATGAGGCCCACCCACATTGTGAAGAATGATCCTGTAAAATATTATCTCATTCCCAAAACACCTAGACAGAAATATTTAGAATGATGTTTGACCAAATATCTGGGCACTATGATCCAGCCAAGTTGGTACAAAAATTAACCATCACATAGAGCCCCCAGGATGACTTTTGCTGCACGAGATGTATACAGGGAAATCAGTAGAACTGTCCAACTGAACCCAGCACAAACTTCTCACCCCCAAAATTGGCAGCAAATAAAGTGATTGTTAGTTGAAGCTACTAAATCTGAAGGGATTTTTTTTTGTAGAATAAACAACTGATACACATAGGAAAAATAACTCAGAAATTAAAATGAAAAGAAAATATTTGACATGAATTTTTCAAAATGCTTTTTAAACATTGATAAAAATTATTATCATACATGGTATGAAACATTGTTGTTTTTCAAAGAAGTTTACTGGTTAACCTTGAAGTTGATGATAGTTTATCCAGTATTTCTCATTAATTCTAAGTGGTGAAAATTGCTGTCATTGAATTGGGTAAAATGAGTCATTTCCAAGAAAAGCTTCACCAATTTAAACTGTTTTCTTGTTACAGAGTTAGTCAGGTCTTTGCTTGTCAGTCTTCATGAGAGAATGAGTAGAATAACTGATCTTTTACACCTAGAAATGTATTGGAATCATAGGAAGTCTTCAGGCCTACTGTGTCCAGTGTTCATTACGATTTTTTCTTATTTTGAGTCTCTCCTTTGTCAAGTTGGGAATCATGCTGTTCAATATTTTCAAAGTTACTGGCTTTTCTCATTCTGTCCTAGATAGAAATTTAACCACTTGTAACAAGTAAAAATCTTGGACAAGCAAAAACAAAACAAAACAAAACAAAACACTTTTATATTACAGTTAATACATTTGATATGAATTTTACAGTACAGAAAACCAAACAGAAATTTTTTTTAAAAGTTATCAATTATTTGGCTTCAAAGGAATGTGTGTGTGTGTATGTTTGTGTGTGTGTGTGTGTTTGTGATTGGGATTATAAAAAGAAAATAAATAGAGTATGATCAAATAGATTTGAGTGAAAACTATGGTAATCAAATTAACACACATGCTGTGTTACAAGTGTGAAGGCAAAAGATACATTACTATAGGTGAGAAGACTCAGAAAAGTTTCCATTTGAGGGCTCATGTTGAAATATTTGCATGAAGACTCATTTTATTTAGCTGAGAAGTTAATTATTTTAGCTATTCAAAATGGAGAAATCATTATATGAAGCACACACATTACTTCTCTTTTATCACGATTGAACTTGTACTCTATAAACTGATGAATATTTGTAGTCAGATGTATGCAATCCAAGCTGATGTGAACCTAAAGACTTGTGCGGGGCCTCCACCGTTCTCCTTTATTTCCTCTTTAATGTTATCACACAAAGTGTGTCTCTGCGGGACTATGCCATACTTATTAGCTGTATGAAATTTATTTCCACATTTCCATAAGTTTGTTTATCAGCAAAAACAACAAATGGTGATGTTCTATCTCAATGCTTAGTTATTGCTAAATATGACATATTTAGGACACTATGCCAAAAAACATACTAAGTTTTTTTTGCTACTTCAAAATATTTACACAAAGAAACAGCAGTAATTTTCTTCCCCAAGGATGGTGCATAATGAAGGTGTGCAACTCTAAAAAAATTATTTCATGATCTAAATTACTATCTTCTTTATGGCAAAGATCAATTAAACCACCCACTTTCATCATCATGAATCAGGAAAATAAATATATAAATAAATAAAAATAAAGACATTTTAATTTTTTAAAATTTCTTTTCATCATCATAATAAAAATAATTGTTTCATGCGTTTGAGGGACATTAAATGCTCATACTTATTCATAACAATCTCAAGATTACTAATTATTGTCAATCTTATTTTAGATATATCCTGACATACTTGGTTAGCGGGGGTAGGGGCAGAGATCATGAGAGTAAATGCAAAATTCAGGGCAAATAGTTGCTAGGGAACCAATAGAAGTTTACACCTTTGACAAAAGGTTAATCTGCTTCACAGTGTAGTGGGTGGAAAATGTTAAGTATAAACGACTTTACGTAATCTTTATTCCATTTAAGATCATATTACTGATTATATTATGCTTATTCACCTAGGATTTATTTACATTCAGCTTCTTCCTTAATGTCAAATGAGTGCTGTTAACGTTCCTTCAGGAAACTTCAGGTAAGAAACTAGAAAACTTCATGATAATCAATATAAAATGTATGTTCAAATTTATTTTCCATTTTCTTCTTAAAGAAATATTAATCATCAAAAGGTTGGTTTAGCTTTTGGTTTGTTTCATTGCTTACCCATGAAAGTGTATTAGTTCTAATTTATAATTTGAGGGATTTTTCTCCCAGATTTTATACTTCAAAATAATTTTACAGATATTGAGGGAACTGTGTGGACAGAGCAGTAAGTTGAGAGTTTTGTCTAAGTGTGAACTCACGGTCCTCTTTAGGGGTTCTTCTCATGCCTCTTGTTCCTACCAGTGGAGAGTTGTTTGTTCCTTCATTAGATGACACATAAAGTAACAAATAAGAAACTTCGTACTGACATATGGTGAAGGCAAGGATAATGTACACAAGTGATCACTGTGGTCTTTAAGACAACACATGAGGGGGTGACCTGTGGGCTGCGAGGAGGAGCCTTGCCTAACTTGCAGGCAGCGCAGGGCAGACGGCAGCAGGAGAGGCGTTCGTGGGCAGGATGAATGCAGGCTCAGATCCTGTGGTCATCGTCTCGGCGACGCGGACCATCATAGGTTCCTTCAATGGTGCCTTAGCTACTGTTCCTGTCCAAGACTTGGGCTCCACTGTCATCAAAGAAGACTTGAAGAGGGCCACTGTGGTTCCTGAAGATGTGTGGGAGGTCATCTTTGGACATGTTTTGGCAGCAGGTTGTGGGCAGAATCCTGTTAGACAAGCCAGTGTGGGTGCAGGAATTCCCTACTCTATTCCAGCATGGAGCTGCCAGATGATCTGTGGGTCAGGTCTAAAAGCTGTGTGCCTTGCAGCCCAGTCAATAGGGATAGGAGACTCCAGCATTGTGGTTGCAGGAGGCATGGAAAATATGAGCAAGGCTCCTCACTTGGCTCACTTGAGAACAGGAGTAAAGATAGGTGAGATGCCACTGACTGACAGTATACTCTGTGATGGTCTTACAGATGCATTTCACAACTGTCATATGGGTATTACAGCTGAAAACGTAGCCAAAAAATGGCAAGTGATTAGAGAAGATCAGGATGAAGTTGCAGTTCTGTCCCAGAATAGGACAGAGAATACACAGAAAGCTGGCCATTTTGACAAAGAGATTGTACCAGTTTTGGTGTCATCTAGAAAAGGTCTTATTGAAGTTAAAACAGATGAGTTTCCTCGCCATGGGAGCAACATAGAAGCCATGTCCAAGCTAAAGCATTACTTTCTTACCGATGGAACGGGAATCGTCACCCCAGCCAATGCTTCAGGAATAAATGATGGTGCTGCAGCTGTGGTTCTTACGAAGAAATCAGAAGCTGATAAACGTGGGCTTACACCTTTAGCACTGATAGTTTCCTGGTCCCAAGTGGGTGTGGAGCCTTCCCTTATGGGAATAGGACCAATTCCAGCCACAAAGCAAGCTATTACAAAAGCAGATTGGTCACTGGAGGATGTTGATATATTTGGAATCAATGAAGACTTTGCAGCCCTCTCTGTTGTCATAGTTAAAGAACTTGGATTAAACCCAGAGAAGGTCAACATTGAAGGAGGGGCTATAGCCGTGGGCCACCCTCTTGGAGCATCTGGCTGTCGAATTCTTGTGACCCTGTTACACACACTGGAGAGAACGGGAGGAAGTTGTGGCATTGTGGCCCTGTGCATTGGGGGTGGGATGGGAATAGCAATGTGTGCTCAGAGAGGATGAATTGCTTAAACTTTGAACAACCTCAATTTCTTTTTAAACTAATAAAGTACTAGGTTGTTATATGTGAAATCAGAGGACCAAAACACATGGAAATCATTTCATACATCACAAAAACCCAAGTTTACAACTTGTTGTACTTTAATGTGTAATACTTAACTCAAGGTACAAGATAATTGCGTTTAACATTGTTATACATACAAGAGACATCAGATCAATCAAAAAAAAAAAAGACAACACATGAATAACAGGATGCAAGATGTCATCCTCAGTGGGAATTTTATTTTCTTAATATTAATTAATAGATTTTTAAATATTTATTTTTAAATCTACTTTAAATATAAGTTTTATGCTATAATAAGTCTGTCTCTTATACACATCTAGATGTGTATAAGAGACAGTTCCTATCCTCCACCCTACCCTTAATCCCCCCAAAAAGCTGTAAGTAATCTCTACGGATCTCTGAAAACACTATACCTATGTCATTTCATATGAAGGCCCTTGTTAATTTCTCTAGGGAAGAGAAGAGAAGGGATTACATGAAAAAGATAATACATTTTAAACATCACTTTTACTCCAGGTAATATACTTGTGGCTTAATAAATACAATTGTATCTATTTAAATATATAGTTTTCTTATCTGTTGCATTATTACATAATTTATGGTATTTATTGTATATTCATTTTTAATATATTAACAAATATGCTTATTTTATTTTATTACTTTATATTCTCAAACAAGTTGTTTTTAATTTTCATTTTATATATGAGAAAATTTGGTCTAATAAATGTTAAACAGCATAATGTTAAGCTAGGATTCTTTGGCCTAATTTATTCTAAAATCTAAATTATGTTTATAATATCTTGCTTACTATAATGTATTACAGTGATTTTTGTCGCAGATATGTATGTATTTTTCTTATCTTCCACTGATAGACTATAAAAGTAATATGAGAAAGATCTCTTGGATTCCTCTTCTACCTAGTAGGTACTGCTGTGTGTGAATAATAGGTACCCAATAAACACATAGTGAAGCAGCTTAACGTCACTGGAGCAGTCTCCCTGTCTGAGGTATTACCCAGAGGTCTTTGTCTTAGGACCAAGAAAATTAAGGTGCATGGACATCAAGGGTGAGGTTGGAGTGAAAGTCTAGTAAGTGAAAGGGGAAATTTCTCCACAGCAGAGATGGGGACCGAGAGGATTGCCATTTCTCAGTTGAATGCAAAGACTTTTATAAACAAGCCAGTGGGGTGGGGTGTTTTTTATTTGCAAAGGTGCGAATTTCTCACAACTCCACCCACTCCCTCTTGTGTGCATGCAGGCCCTGAGTTATTCCATATTATCCTGTTTCCTTACTGCGCATGTATCAGGAGATGGAATTTTCCATTGCAGACATGCCTGGTTCTGTGTAACTAATCTTATCTGTGCACATGCAGGCATGTCTTAGGCAACCCTCCCTGTGTAAGTTCTCTTATCTGAAGAGGATAGGAACAAAAAAGAAAAGGAACATGCTCACTGAAGCCCACAGTGTGTATATGTATATGTCTTTTGCTGGTTACAAAAGACAAGGGTCTTTTATGGTTGACCTTGCCTCTTTATCTGTGCTTGAAGGTTGTGCAGCTTCAGGCTGCCCTTTTGTTAGAAAGAATTTTACCAAAGGACCTTGTTCTAACTATCTGCCTAACTGGTTTCTTGATTTCTCCTCTCTCAATAGTACTTGAATAAAATACCATATTTTAGTTATCTAAAACTGGATCTGATTCCCAGCCAATAAATAAAATGAAGAAAATAACATCAGTGAATCATGACATCCTAGTGAATCATGACAATTATTTTAAAGTTTCTTGCCAAGTCACTATGAACCAGGCTGACACCAGGAAGGCAAAAATTTTGTGCACACCATAACATCTTCTGCAGAGAGCCTAGAATGGAAACAAATTCAAGGAATTTTATGATCACTCTGTTAAACTTTGAACAGTACTTTATAAAAGTAATTGTTTGAATGAAACAGTTGATGTTTTCATACAGATTATCTTTGGTAATGGGAGAGCTTAGAAGAGACGATTTTATGATATCACTAAGAATATGGCATTTATAATTTCAGAAGGTTTATTAACACAAAAAAGATCACTCTGCTTATTCACAGACACATGCATACAAACATAATATTTTCACAGAGATCGCTTTACTTAAATTACTTGATCCGATATTATCCAATGTGTGTTACACAATTTTGTATTGTGTTATCTTGCTTTTGGAAGGCTACTATTCATATAGATTCCTTAGTTGGTAAGGGGACATGATACATTTTGATGGGGCAATCTATCCCAGTGGTTAATACAACAGGCTGTGGGAGTTAGAGATCCTTAAGATTGCTACCATTAGTTCCCATCTTTTATTTATTCTTATTTTAGGGGTTCAAGTGCAGTTGTGCTGTCTGGGTACATTGTGTAGTGGTGAAATCTGAGCTTTTAGTGTACCCATCACCCAAGCAGTGTACACTGTATTTCCATTGTACCCAATAAGTAGTATTTTCTTATTTTGCTGTAGGAACATGGCAAGTTATTCAATCTCTTTGGGCAGTGGTTTCTTTTTCTTTGATGTGGGAATAATTATAAAAGATCCATAATAGGATTTTTTTAAAAATAAGCAAGAAATGAAATTAACGTGTTAAAGAGTTTGCATAATGTTTGACATACAACGAGGACTTAATAAACGCTAGCAATCATTGAAGGGTGAGTCTAGGTGTCAAGTAGCTGTTTTTCATTCAGGCTAGATAGCTTTTGAGCAGCACTTTTGGTAGATGTATGCTTGACTTAGTAATTCTCTTTAAATAGCTCCTATTCACTAGTAACATAACCTATAATCTCTTGCACATCTTTTATTTTATTCATCTATTTATAATATTTACTTGGTGATTAACATAAACTATTTTTGCAAACATGTTAATAAAGTAGTTATAAATATAGTATATATGTTATACATATTATTTATAAGTATTTGAATTTATACATATTTATAGTAATATATATTTATAAATATCATTTGACATAATGTTATATATTATAACTATTATTATAATGTCTAATTGTGACAAATGAAATTATATTAAAGCATTAAAAATTTTAAAACTTACAGTATCAACAACTTTAAATTTCTGAATGAGTTTTGGTCCTAACTAAGGTTTCAATATCTAGACCTGAATGTAGAGTTGACATATACAGAAGCTTTATCTAATTTAATTGTAAAAATTTAACAATTATGAAACACACAAAAAAGGGTTGGAGGATTAAGTTCAAAAGGAGGATTAGACAGCAGGAATCATACTAAAACGTTAAAATTAAAGCAACAGGTTGAGAAGTAAGACACATTACCCATGCATCTGTATATACCCTAAAATATGGAGCTACTGTGACTAGTATCATTTTATAGAGAGAAGCATTTTAAGGGTATTAATGGTTTGCCTCAAAACTGAGAAATCCTTTTGTCTTTCCTTTTCTTTTTCCTTTAAAAGCAGAGAAAAACTTTTGCTTCACATCTCATCAAATCTTCTGCATCAAGCCACATCATGTTAAACAACCTTCTCCTGTTCTCCCTTCAGATAAGTCTCATAGGAACCACTCTTGGTGGAAATGTTTTGATTTGGCCAATGGAAGGTAGTCATTGGCTAAATGTTAAGATAATTATAGATGAGCTCGTTAAAAAAGAGCATAATGTGACTGTCCTAGTTGCCTCGGGTGCACTTTTCATCACACCAACCTCTAACTCATCTCTGACATTTGAAATATATAAGGTGCCCTTTGGCAAAGAAAAAATAGAAGGAGTAATCAACGACTTCGTTTTGACATGGCTGGAAAATAGACCATCTCCTTCAACTATTTGGAGATTCTATCAGAAGATGGCCAAAGCAATCAAGAACTTCCATATAGTGTCTCGGGAGATCTGTGATGGTGTTCTTAAAAACCAACAGCTGATGGAAAAGCTAAAGAAAAGCAAGTTTGAAGTCCTGGTGTCAGATCCAGTATTTCCTTGTGGCGATATAGTAGCTTTAAAACTTGGAATTCCATTTATGTACTCCTTGAGGTTTTCTCCAGCCTCAACAGTGGAAAAGCACTGTGGGAAGGTACCATACCCACCTTCCTATGTTCCTGCTGTTTTATCAGAACTCACCGACCAAATGTCTTTCACTGACAGAATAAGAAATTTCATCTCCTACCACCTACAGGACTACATGTTTGAAACTCTTTGGAAATCCTGGGATTCATACTATAGTAAAGCTTTAGGTATGTAACAAATTTTGTTTCTATTACTTGAATTTGAAAAAACAGAACTTTGTGGAGCCCCTTCTTTATTTTTCTATGTCTACTCTTTTTTAATTCCAAGTATTGATATGCTATGTATTACTATCACTTGATAGCACAAAAGAAGATAAAAGACATTGTACTTCAGTAGTACAGTGTGTTGTTTTCTAATTGCATGGACTTAAAGATATCAATTTAGTTCTTTTAAGGATAAAATCTAGTGACAAATACTTTAGTCTAAAAGTCAGGCTGTATCTTATGTAGATATTATGCTCAAAATAGAAATTGCCTAGAAACTACAGGGATGTGTGGAGAAAGCCAGAAAATGTTAAACTTTCCACAAGCCTATTATTAATACAGACATTATTATGCATGTTTAAGAGCATACATGTATGTTGATAATCTCTGATCATCATTTAATAAATATTAAGGCTCATAAAGAAACAAAATATATTAAGGCTTTATCACCTTTAAGTGTAAGGTGTGAACTAAAACCATTGATCTGGATGATTTATCCATGCTAAGCTTATTTAACTTGCTTAAGTGTGATATGGTGTTTACCTGATAAATAAAAATGTAATCAATGGTACTAACATCAGAAAGCCTATATTGATCATGTTGATATATTTATGAACATATTTGTCTAAAAATCAAACAGGCTTTGTCCATTTTTTTGCTTTTGAATTTTATCATTTATTCCTCATTAATTATAGATTTCTTACTCTTTACTAAGCACTCTTTTAGATAGGAAGACTAAAATAAAGTCCATCGGTTCAAGGATTTCACAAACAGATAAATCAGACATTAAAAGGAATATTTATTATGTGAATTACGTAAATATGGAAATATGTACCAATTACAAAATGTAGAGGAGTTAGGTATTATGTTGACAGACAGAGCGTGTTATTTTGAAAAACTTCAGAGTTCAGGTGATGCATAAGGATACTTTAAAATACTGAATGTGAGTTTTCCTGCAAGGTAAGAACGGGGAAAGAAAAAGCATGCTCAAAGTTGAAGACAAAACAGCACAGGTGCGATGGATATTTCTGATAATTTAGTATTGCTGAAGGTTCAAGTGTAAGGTAGGGAGGCATGGGGGAAGATGCTAATGACGTTGAAACCACAAGAATGAGTGAATTAATTCAATGAATATTTCAAAGTCTCCTGTACATCATTCTAAAAACATCTTAATCTAATAAGCAATTGAGAACCATCTAAAGGGAAATATTATGACCTGATTTTCATTTTATATAAAACACTTGGACAGATGTGGCGGTAGAGTTGAGAGGTGTGAGACTAGACTAAGTTATCATTCTAGGAAAGATATGGTAAGAGCCCGCCCTACACAAGTGGCGAATAAATGGAGGAAAATAGTGCAGTATGAGACTCCATAGCAACACAATTAGGATAGCAGGAGCTAACAGACAACATCCACATAGCAGTCTGTAGCTTTGAAAAGTAATTCAGTCTCCTTGCACCTGAACCTCATTTATGTCAAGTCTGACAAGGCTACTAAAAGGACTAAATTAGTTTACATCTGAAAGGATTTAGAATAGGGTGGCCCAATCAGCCATGACAGTGAATATGGGAGAATAAAAATGGATACTGTATTGAATTTTGTACATGTTGTGTATGTGACACTTTGGGGAATATTTAGCAAAATCCAATAAGCAGCTGGATATAAGGGGTGAGATCTCAGAGGTAATCTCCTGGGTTAGAGATTGAAGTGTCATCTAAATAAAGATGACACATATATACTTTTATCTCTCTTATGGTAATCTAGTTTCCATGTTTTCTGCTATCTTATTACATGCAGGTCACCTGTTATTTCTCTGCTTTCATACATAACATATTTCTGAAATTGTCAACAATCAAAATATTTGAACTCAAGCAATGCATTTACATGTTCTAAACATGATTTTCTTCCCAGGCAGGTAAAATTATTTCACAATACACAGTTGCAGTTGATACTTTGTATGTAGGGTTAAGTATTATATATTTAATGTTTACTTTGCTTCCTTGCTAAACCTTACAAATGCAGACATAAACCCAATGATAATCAGATAGAGGAGAAATGTTTTCCAAATTTGGTAAGTTATATTTCTCTAGGATTTTTTATCTTATTGATACATGATAGATGTACATATTTTGGGGGTACATGTGCTATTTTGATACATATAATATGTAAAGATCAAATGAGGATAATTGGGATATCTGTCACCTTAAATATCCATCTTTTCTTGATAACAGGAACATTCAAATTATCATCTAGCAATTTTGAAATGTACAACAGATTGCTAACTGTAGTCACCCTACTGGTTTATCAAAGACTGGGCTCAACTGTCTATTTGTACCCATTAATCAACCTCTCTTCATCCTCCCTCTCCTTACTCTTCCTAGCTGTTATTAAGTTCTGAGGCTGTAGCTTCTCATTAGTAACATTGGCACATTAATTTATGTGCATTCATTTATTGATAACAAAGTAATAATGCACAGACTGCAGAGACTGTAATGTTTGCTAAGCAGAGCTTGTAAGGCCTAGAAATGGTTACTAGCTAATGAATGAACATCCTAAATGCTATTGAAAATAATTTAAAGATGACAAAGTGTACTAGGTAAAACAGTGGGTTACATGAATGTTGGCAAAAGAAGAAAGTGAGATTTCTGTGTAGTGATGCTTACTGACACGTTAGCTTCTTTTCTACAGACCTCTGTTCTAAAAAACCTGTAAAGTTGACCTATATCAATCAAAATAAATATGCATAGGTTGGTATGTGAATGAAGACATGAGATACTACAGCCATGTGAATGATTATTATCAAAAGCTGGTAAGCCAGTTATAATTAACACCGATAGCAAAAGTCATAAACTCCTCTGGGTGTGTTAAGTAATTGGCCTAAAATTCAAAAACAGATCTTTATCTCTTGAGAAGTAAAAGAAAAACTAGTTATTCTCTTATTCAGAGAATACAAACTTTGCTACGATGATTATAGATGAATCTTCAAGTGTCCTATAGAGATAAAAATGAATGGGAAACATCTTATGGCTGAAACTAGATCTTAAAAGACAGAGGAGGAAAAAATTGAAGTTTTATGAAGCAATGAAACTGTCAAGATGGCAAAATATCCTTCATATCCTCATATATGTGGTAAACTAAAAGGGACATCGGAGTAAGTGCAGCATCTCAGTTCAGGTAAGAACGGAATGTACATAGACAGTCTCTTGGTCACAATTTATGTTTATATTTTCAATCCTACCGCTTCAGTTTTGTCAACTCCTCATCATCAACCTTGGAATTCTAATTCTCATGATTACTAATCTCTTTATTTGTGAAGTTATCTGACAGTTTACTTTACCTAGGCTGGCAGTCTCAGAATCACATGTTCCATTTTATTTTGCCTGTAAGTAAATACTGGTAATAAAAGCACACTATTCTTTCAGTCTTAATACATGAGGCTAATCTTTCTTAACAATTTGTTCAGAGGAATATAATGCAGATTTCTAAAGATGTTCTTATCCTCTGATTTTGATATATCATGTTTCTGATCAAATTACCCGCTTTTGACTTAGAATGACTACTTAAGTTTGTCTTTATTAAAACACAATATTCTTACTGATGCCAGGAACATGAACAGTCATATTTAAAAGACAAGGTAAGAAGTAACGTATTGACATGACAGAGTAACTTATTTCTGTGCAAGACTTTGTGGATGTAGAATGAGAAAGGAGAATGATAAATGGAACTGACTTGTAAAAATAACTCCTTTGCAATTTGTAATTTGAATTGATGTTCCACATTTACTTAAAATTCGTTAATCAAATCATTGTAACAAATTTATATCCACTTAGACCTCGAACAGTCTCACCTGAGTAAATAAATAGAACAAGTTCCTAAGTTTACTTCTCTGCAGTGGAATGCAACAAGAAGCTCAGAGTGAGTCCTTAATCTCTGATAATTGGTAGAAATTGGATATTTATAATGTAAAATTACTCATTTTATTTCAGATCATGGGAATTTAGCTCACACTGATGGATATCATAATAGTGATAGCAGTATATATTAATATCTTTCTATGCACTAGCCACTGTGATAAGTGATTTACGTATATTTTCTCTCAATCCTTGAACTATTGCAGTTCATTGCAAGAAAAAAGTTGTAACACAGAAAAGAATATTGAGACTTGGAAATATCAAACATGTTAAATTATGAGAAAATAGTATTCAAATGAAAATCTTTCTCATATCAAAGCTTCGATGTCATATTTCCTAGTTCTAGAAATTGTTTTTTCTTCTTTTTAAATTTCAGGTGCAAATCTATGAACTGTTCAGAATATTTTAGGTTAAATTTTTCTTGGACACTTTTCTTCTTTTCAATGTGTTTAGCTTTTAAAATGTGCTATTCTATTTCTTGCCTATTTTTGATTTGTCGAATGAACACAATTGGACCATTGTATCACTAGGTAACCTAGTATTCATTAAGGGGTAGGTCATCATGCGATTCTGTTGTCTGGGGAGGGTTGTCTAGGGATATATCTTTGGCGTTAAGAGAGCTTTATAAGCCACTTCTAACTGAAAGGAGGTAACAGGTTCCACAGTTTCTAATGTATACATTAAAAATTTTTTGAATTTTTATGCATTTAAAAAAATGGAACCAGGTAAATTTCATTTTCACTTTTATTTAAAAAGAAAAAAAAAAACACCAAAACTGGGGCACATTTAACGGGAGAAAAACGTAACATTTTTTGTCACTAAAAATACTTATAATCCATAAGCATTACATATTGTTACCAACAGCACTTTACCCTTTGACCACTGTAAAAGCAAGGTTTTTTTGTGAATAATCTCTCTATATTAGAGGTGTATAACATGTAAAAATACATAACATTATATATGAATAATTAGGTGAATAATCTCTAAGATGAATGTCATCTATAATAACAGACTTTTTTGCAAGTCTATTAAATAAGAAATCTAGATTTTCA